CCGAGGCTCTGGCTCTCGTTGGAGACGCAGCGGCGCCGGGAGCCGTCCAGCACGAGTGGGGGCTCGCAGGTGCAGTGGTAAGAGCCCACGGTGTTGACGCAGTGGCCGCCTTCGCAGGCTGGCTCCTCGTCTGCACACTCGTCGTTATCTGGAGGCGGAGGGGGGTGCGGGGGGTGGGTAATGGGGTGGTTACCAGGCAGCACTCGTTCCCTTTCCCATGTCTCTCCACAGCTCCTTGACAGAATGATAGATGCAGTCTAGACTCTGGGAAGGACTTCCCGCTGAGATGGCCACGTTCCTACTCCTTGGGCAGGCCGGGCCAGGGGTGGGGGGAGGGAGGCTCGTACCCACGCACTCCAGCCGCTGTGCGTGATAATAGAAGCCGTTGCTGCAATAGCACGAGTACCCTGGGGCCGTGTTCACGCACACGCCGCTCTTGCACACTTGGTCCTGGAAGAGCTGGCATTCATCTACGTCTGCAGGAAAGGTGAAGAGAGAGGAGGACGGGTGTAGTTGTGCTCTGAGAGAAGTGGGGGGGGGGTTGTGGGCTAGCCAGGCATGCCAGGAGAAGACAGCAATAGAGACCCAGAATCCAAGACAGGGAAAGCTGGAGCCAGAGGGCCCAGATGGGGTGGGCAACCCCATCAGTCAGGAGGCAGAGGCAAGAGGAATTCAAAGCTAGCATCAACTACAAAGCAAGTTGTAAGCCAGCCTAGGCTACCTGAGGTCCTGTCCTGAAAACTTTAAAAATAGATAAGTAAATAAATAAATAAGTAAAAGCTAAAGTTATAGCTAGCTCAGTTAGTAGGATGCTTGCCTAGCATACACAAAATCTTGGGTTTGGAGCTGGAGAGATTGCCTTTGGGTAAGAGCAAGTACTGTCCTTGCAGAAGACCCAAGTTCAGTCCCCAGCATCCACATAGGACAGCTCACAACCGTCTATAACTCCAGCTCCAGGGGGATCTGATACCTCTGGCCTCCAGGAGCACCTGCACTTATGTGCACATACCTCCACACATACCCCCCCCACACACATACACAATTAAATTAACAAAACAAACAAAAAACCCGGGTTTGGTTCCCAGCATTGGCTAGATTAGTCTTGGTGGTGCACGCTTGTAATCCAACACTCAGGAAGTGGAGGCAGGAGGATCAGAAGTTCAAGGTCATCCTCAGCTATACAGAGTATTCCAGGCTAGCCTAGGCTATATGAGACCTTGTCCCAGAAAAACAGAATGAAAAACCATTAAATAAAAAAAAGAGGAGAAATAAAAGAAAACAGAAAGAAGTTCTGTGTGATGGCACATATAAACCCAAAGGGAGGCTGAGACAGGAAGAGCACAAGTTCAAGGCCAGTCTAGATTACTAGTTAAGACCCTGTCTTTACCCCTTCTTCAAAAAGAAAAAGAAGAGGGACTTAAGAGATGGCTCAGTGTTTAAGAGCAGTGACTGCTCTTGCAGAGGACCCCGGTTCGGTTCCCAGCACCCACATGCTGGCTAACAATCATCCATGACTCCAGTTCCAGGAGATCCGACGCCCTCTTCTGACCTCTTCTGGCATTGCATTGACACAGGTACACTTACATACATGCAGCCAAAACACTCATACACATAAAATAAAAATAATAAATAAAATATAAAAAAGAAAAAGAAAACAGGAAGAGATAGTGGTGGGATGTGACAGAGCTGGGCCTGGGAGCTGAGGGTGGGTGGGAAACTCACCTCTGCGGATGCTCAGGTCTCCACTGGGCGACAGGTAGCCCCGGCCATGGGGACACAGTGACTGGTACTCAGCTGCACACAGAAGCAAAGACGAGCTCCTGCCCAAGCCCCCTGGACTGATTCCAGCCCCCTTTGCAAGTGCTAAGGCCCATGCCCACTAGCACCCACTTCTCAGCTTCATGCCCACTGGTCCTCATCCAGTGGCTGATGACTCACTCTCACTCTGGCAGCAGCAGCAGCTCAGCCCTAGGTCCAAACTCGTCCCTTTCCCCAGTTCCATATCCTTGTATATAGAAACCTTGAGCCCTATGCCCCTCCCCCATGCCAGCTCATGTCCACCCCAACCTGTCTCGGTGCCCGGGCACTGTTGGATGCGGCAGCCACTGCCCCAGCCTTCACCCACAGTGCAGCAGCACTCCTGCCATGTCACATTCCGGGCCAAGATGTTGTCACAAGCATCTGGGGCTGCAGTGTCAAAGTAGCACTCTCGGCGACCACTGCTCACAGGACCCTGCCTGGGAGGGCTGGGCCTTCGAGGTGGGGTTGGGGGTGGAGGTGGTCTGGCTGGAAGACTGGGGCTGGCAGGTGCCTGGGGCTGTGAGCCTGGGATTGTGCCGGTGCCTAAGGGAAAAAAAAAAAAAAACAACAAACTTTAGCCAAAAAAAACTTTAGCCAGGGATCATTTGAGTCTCCCATCCTCTAAGTCAGAGATGGGGAAACTGAGGCCCAGCAGGCACAGACATCAGTAGACAAGACCATACACTTTTTTAAAGACAGGGTTTCACTGGGTAGCCCTGGTTGGCCTGGAACTTATTATGTAGACCAAGCTGGCCTTGAACTCACAGAAATCCTCCTGCCTCAGCCTCCTAAGTGTGGGAATTACAGGTATGAGCCAGCATGCCTGGCTTGGTTTCAGCTATTCTGCTCGTGTGTCCTGTCTGTCAGTCAGCATCCTTTGCTATTGTTTGTTTTGAGACAGTCTCCCTGTAACCCCAGCTGGCCTGGAATTCGCTGTGTAGACCAGGCTAGCCTTGATCTCATAGATATTCACCTGTCTCTGCCACCAAAGTGCTGAGTTTGCAGGTGTGCACCACCGTGCCTGGCTCTGTCTGCGTCTTCTTCCCCCTTTTATCACCCTTTCCAGCCCCTGCTCCCATCACTGCAGCTACCATTCAGGCTGTAATGGAATTCCCTGTGTTTTTTCTGTGTCTTTCGGTGTCTTCACCCCCAGCATGTCCCAAATTTGAGCAGAGTCTTCATTCTCAGACAAAAGCCTTATCCTGAATCATCTGTCTTCCACCAGCCTCAAGGCTTGTCCATGGCTCTCAGATGTTTCTCCTACCCACTGTCCCTCTCCTCCCAGGGACCCTGTTTTCTTCCAGCTCTGTCCTCTCCCAACCTGGTCGCTGCCCACTTCCATCATTTTAACACAGCTGCACCAGGGAGATTTCAAAATCTTTCCTGCTTGAAACCCTCCATAGTACTACATGCCCTGAGGAAAAGCCCAGCCTCAAGCAACCCAGGGCAGCATCCCATGGGCTATGGTCCTGGCTGAATAAAGAGAGGGCTGGAGGGATGGCTCAGCAGTTAAGAGTACTTGCTGCTCTTGTAGAGGACCAGAGTCCCAGGAGCCAGTGGCAGCAGCTGCCTGTAACTCCAGCTCCAGGAGCTCTGATGCCTTCTTGTGGTATCCACAGGCACTGTACTCACATGCGTGCACACACACACACACACACACACACACACACACACACACACACACATACACACGGGCTGAAGAGATGGATCAGTGGTTAAGAGCACTGACTGCTCTTACAGGGGACCTGGGTTTGATTCCTAGCACCCACATGGCGGCTAACAATCATCCATAACTCTACTTCCATGGGATTGAACACCATCTTCTGACCTCTGTGGGCACTGCATGAAACAGGTGCATTCACATGCATACAGGCAATACATTCATACACATAAAATAATAATAAATAAAATATTAAAAAAAAACAAAGTGAAAAGTTTCTTTAAAAATAAAGGGGGGAGGGGCTGGAGAGATAGCTCAGCAGTTAAGAGCACTGGCTGTTCTTGCAGAGGACCTGGGTTTGATTCCTAGCACCCACATGGCAGCTAACAACTGTCCAAAACTCCAGTTCCAGGGGATTCCAGTTCTGGGGGATTCGTCGGCCTCTTCTGTCCTCTGCAGGCATTGCATGACACGGGTGCACTTACCTACATGCAGGCAATACACACATACACATAAAATAAAAATAATAAATAAAAAAATAAAATAAAGGGTGGGGGAAGCCAGCTGAGCTGTAGAGCTCCCTTTCTCTGCTTCTTGATCTACCTAGGGCCAGAAAGAAGCCTCACCCTCCTGCCTCCACATCTTCCCCCGAAGATGGGCTGTACCGTCAGACCATGAGCTGGAATAAACCCTTCCTCCCTTACATTGCTTCTTGTCAGGCATTTGGTCACAGTTGCCAGAAAGTAACTAAGCCAGTAAGCCAGGGTGCCTTGTGCCTGCCTCCGCCTGCTGTCTCCACCTCTCCTCTCCAAGCCATGCCCGGTGGAGTTATTTCAGCTCTTCAAACAAGCCAAGTGTTCTCTTGCTTAGCCAGGCCCTTGCCCTTTCTGTGTCCTCTGCCCAGAATGCCCCCTACCCCCACTTTACCTTCTTGTTTCTGCTTCTCCTGCCTAGTTTAGATACTATCCCCTCTAGGAAGTCCTCCTGAATCCTCTCAGGCTGGCCCGGCCCCTCCATTTCCCCTGCAGCTCTCTTTGGACTTGTATCTTCCCACCCACTCCACATCTCTCTGGGATATCTCTGTCTCTTCATTGGTTCCTCCACCCCCACCCCCAGGGGGATTGAACAAGGGCCTTGTGCAGGCCAGACAAGGGGCTCTACCACTGAGCCACACCCCCTAGTTCTTCACTGGGGGATTCTAGGCAAGTGTTCTACCACCGAGCCACACCACCATCCCCTCACTGGGGGATTCTAGGCAGGTGCTCTACCACTGAGCCACACCACCATCCCCTCACTGGGGGATTCTAGGCAGGTGCTCTACCACTGAGCCACACCCCAGCCCCTCACTGGGGGATTCTAGGCAGGTGCTCTACCACTGCACTATTTTGAGACAAGGCCTCAATAAATTGCCCGGGTTGGCTTTGAACTCACTCTGTAGCCTTGATCTTTCAATACTGCCTTGGTTTATAGAGTAGCTGGGAGAAGGCCTGCACCCCATGGCTTGGTTCCCCATTAGATTTTGAGATCATTAGGACACAGATCAATCTCCCTGCTTACCACTGTGTTCCCAGTGCCCAGAATAGGACTTGAATGTGTTGAATGGCCTGTTAACACCTGCTGAATGAAGGAATCTAGTGGAGTTCAGGCCAGGGTCTAATTCTCCTGAAGACTTTGGACTTCTTTTTTTTGGTCTTTTTGAGACAGGGTCTCCCTGTAGCCCCAGCTGTGCTGGAGCTCACTATGTAGACCAGGCTGGCCTTGAACTCACAGAGATCCATCTGCCTCTGCCTCCCTAATGCTGGGATTAAAGGCGTGTGCCACCACGCCCGGCCTGAGGACTTCTTAATGTCCATGTCAAGGACTGGAGCCTGAAGCTCAGTGGTAGAGCACTTGCCTAATATCCATGTTAACCTACTTGTTTTGTTTGTTAAAAGTAATAGCATTTAGGGCTGGGAATGGAGCTCAGCTGGTAGAGAGCTTGCCTAGAGTGCACGAACCCTGGGTTTGATTCCCAGCACCACATACACTATACACGGTGGTGCAGGCCTGTGAGCCTGGCACATGGGAAGCAGAGGCAGGAAGATCAGAAGTTTGAAGTCATCCTCAGCTACATAGAATTTGAGGCCAACCTGGGCTACATGAGACTCTAAAAAAAAAAACAAAACAGGGCTTGAGAAAAAGCTCATTAGGCAAAGACAGTTACCATGTAAGCCTGACAACTTGAGTTCAGTTCCCAGAACCCATGAAAGGTAAAAGAGAACAAACTTCATAACGTTGTCCTCTGACCTCTGCACACACGTCATGGTATACACACACACACACACACACACACACACACACACACACACACACAAACACATACACCCCTACGCACAATAATAACAAAGTAAAGTTTAAAAAATAATTAAGCCACAGTGGTGGTGCATGCCTTTAATACAAGTACTCTGGAGGTAGAGGCAGGCTGATCTCTGTGAGTTCAAGGCCACCCTGGTCTACATAGTGAGTTCAAATAAATAAGTAAATAAATATATAAAATAATAACAGCATGTAACTGATGGAAGGTATCAACACACACACACACACACACGCACGCACACACACACACATGGTCAGGTCACATCATTTTCACACAGGTCCAGCAGTCATTTGTTAGACATATGAATCTCACCTGCAGAAGTCCGTGGGGGAACACAGCGTGCAGTCATGGGGTCAAACTCCTCAGGGCTGGTGGGGCAGACACATAGGAAGGAGCCTTCCACGTTTTCACAGAGTGCAGCTCCACACACACCCTGTAATGTTTCACACTCATTCACATCTGTGAGCAGGAAAAAGTCCATGGTTAGAAACTTCTCTGGCCCTGAAAGTGAGCTTTCAACTATAATGGGTATATCTTTGCTGGGCGTAGTGGCACACGCCTTTAATCCCAGCACTTGGGAGGCAGAGGCAAGCAGATCTCTGTGAGTTTAAGGCCAGCCTGGTCTACATAGTAAATTCCAGGACAGCTGGGGCTACAGGGAGACCCTGTCTCAAAAAGACCAAAAAAAAAAAAATGGGTATATCTAAATCTCTATCATCTATCTATCTATCATCTATCTATCTATCTTTATCTTATGTGTATGAATGTTTTTCCTGCATGCATATAAGTGTACCGTATGCATGCAATGCCTGCAGAAGCCAGAAGAGAATGTTGGATCGCCCTGGAACTGGAGTTACAGGTGGTTGTCAGCCAGCTGAGCCATCTCTCCAGCCCCTCTAATGGATATTTTTAATGGTCCAGAATCCATTTTTCACTTTTCTCTGGTTAGAAGTCCCAACTTTTCCGTGGGAATTCTCTACTCCTTTAAGCTCACCCCATACATCAGTGAGTATAGCTAAGTCTCCAGTGGGGCAGAATCAGCCAGATCGCGGCACTTCTCTGGGTCAGAGACAGGCGTTGACCTCAAGAGGCCAGCCAAAGCCAGTTCTGAGACTTTCTGAGTCTCCTCTTTAGCTCTACAGTTGCCAAGCTGAGGCTGTCAGCACAGACAGTGCTAGGGCCACCTCTGTCACTGCGACGAGTCTGCCTCAAAACAAGTCCAACAAGGAGACTTTACAAGAGCTTACAAGTCCAACAAGAGCTTTACTGCAATTCCTGGATCCAGGTATGTTTGGACTTCCAGACTAAGTAAGCTGTTTTAATATTCTCTGTCTCTCTCTCGCCTCTCTTTTTGGAATTGTTTTTTTACAGATCTCACTCTCTAGTTAGGCTACCCTTGAACTCATGGCAATCCTCCTGCCTCAGACTCAAGAAAATCACCTGCCTGACTTTTCTCTTTTTTTCTCTCTGTGAATTGAATTTGAACCCAAGGCCTCATAGACGCCAGGCAAGTGTATGAATATATACCATATATATACCTATGACTTCTTAATTCTCTTTTAAGAAATAAAGGCTGCTGGGCATGGTGGTGTATGCCTTTAATTCCAGCACTAGGAGGCAGAGTGAGGTGGATCTCTGTCAGATAAAGGCCAGTCTAGGCCAACTGAGGCTACAGGGAGAATGTCTCAAAAAACAAAAACAAAAGAAAAACAAACAAAGGCTGTTGGTGGTGTGGCTCAGTGATAGAATGTCTGCATAGCATGAGGGTCCTGAGGTCCATCTCCAGCACTGCTGAAAGAAAAAAAGAACAAAAAAGAAAGAAAGACGGGCTGGAGAGATGGCTCAGCGGTTAAGGACACTGGCTGCTCTTACAGAGGACCTGCACCCACATGGCCACTAACAACCGTCCATAACTCCAGATCCAGGGGATCCAACACCCTCTTCTGACCTCCACAGGCACTGCACGACACCGGTGCACCTACCTACATGCAGACAATACAAGCATACACATTAAAAAAGAAAGAAAGAAAAAGGAAAGCCAGGCGTGGTGGCACATGCCTGTAGTCCCAGCACTTGGGAGGCAGAGGCAGGTGGATCTCTGTGAGTTCAAGGCCAGCCTGGTCTATATAGTGAGCTCCAGGCCAACCCCCACTACAGGGAGACCCTGTCTCAAAAAACATCAAATAAATAATTCTTCAAGTCTATTTATTCTGATTTTACAATTCACCTTTCTCTAACACATTCACTATGGATCAAGGAGGACATCACTTACAAGTTCATGTTTTCAGCTTTACCTTGGCTGTTTTAGAAGATAGAAAGAAAGAAAGAAAGAAAGAAAGAAAGAAAGAAAGAAAGAAAGAAAGAAAGAAAGAAAGAAAAAGAAAGGAAGGAAGGAAGGAAGGAAGGAAAAGAAAGAGAGAGAGAGAAAGGGAAGAAGAAGAAGAAGAAAAAAAAACAACTAAGCCTGTTGATGAGAATTGAGAATTTAAGGCCAGCCTGGTTACATAATGAGACCATGTCTCAACCCTCATTCCCCAGAAAAGAATAAATAAATAAAACCTGTGTTTGCATTTGTGCAAACCCTAAAGGATTTATTCAAATCCATGCTCTTCACTGTATTTAGATTGGCTCTCTAGGACCAGCGAGATGCTCAGTGGTCTTAGGCACTTACTGCTAAGCCTGATGACCTGAGTTCAGTCCCCAGGATCCACATGGTGGAAGGAGAGAACAGATTCTTGCAGTTTGTGCTCTGACCTCCACATGTGGACCATGGCCCATTTGGGCTTACACACGTAAATAAATAAATAAATAAATAAAATTTCAATTGAACTATTTAAATTGAACCTCTAATTAAAATATCTGTAACTACATGGTAAACTCTAACGCTGTGGAGACTGAAGAATTTAGCCGGTTAATGTCCCAATGCCTGCAGTCTAATTATAAATTTTTAAATTTTGTTTCTGTTTGTTTTGTTTTGGTGTTTTCTGAGAAAGGGTCTCACTATATGGCCTTGGCCTAGTCTGGAACTCACAATGTAGACCAGGCTGACTTTGAATTCACAGCGATCAACTTGCCTCTGCCTCCTCAGTGCTGGAATCAAAGGCATGCACCACCATGCCTGGCTGGAGTCTAATTTTAAATCTGTCCACTCTAGGCTTGGTTTTCACTGGTGATTCTACCACTCAGGAGGCAGAAGCAGAAAGATCAATGGTAGTTCCAGGCCAGCTTGGTCTTCACAGTGTATTCAGTGGCAGTCAGGGCTAGAGTGAGGAACAGTTCTCAAAATCAAACAAGCAAAACCAAAACCAAAATCTGTTCAAATATCTAGATCCATTCATGGATATATATGTAAGGGAGCCAGTAGAATAAAAATCATAATAGAAGCTGGGCGTGGGGGGGCCACACCTTTAATCCCAGCACTTGGGAGACAGAGGCAGGCGGATCTCTGTGAGTTCAAGGCCAGCCTGGTCTACATAGTGAGTTCCAGGACAGCTGGGGCTACAGGGAGACCCTGTCTCAAAAAGACCAAAAAAAAAATCATAATAGAACCTAAATCAGGGGTATGCAGGTGCAGCCTAAAATTTCCTCCATTTGCTATGTATTGAATTTTTCTACCAGGTCCGGCGGCCTGCACCTGTAATCCTAGCCACCAGGGAGGCTGAGGCAGGAGTTTTACAAACTCAAGGTCTGCCTCATCTACAAAGTGAGTTCAAAACCAGTCTAGGCAATTTAAAGACTCTGTCTCTAAAAATGTAAAAACAGGGCTGGGGCTAGATGTGGGGGTACATACCTGTTATCTTACCACTGGGGAGGTAGAAGCAGGAGGATCAGGATTTCAAAGTCATTCTTATCTACACAGTGAGTTCAAGGTCAGTGTGGGCTAGGTAAGACTCTGCCCCACCTCCAAAAAAGGGGGTTAGGAATGTAGCTTGGTTGAGATCCAGTGTTCTTAACCACTGATCCATCTCTCCAGGCCTCAGAGAAAAATATTTCTTAAACTATAAACACACACACACACACACACACACACACACACACACACACAAATAAAACCAGAATGAGGAAGGTTAGTTGGGAGGACCTCTCCCTCCTGGTTTGGGAGGCAGAGCACCTTTCCTCTGGTCTGCAGGGGAGTAGACCCCAGCAACCTGCCTCAGGTTCTTTTATCTTTTTTTGAAATAGGATCTTACTCTGTAGCCCAGGCTATCCTGGAACTTGCTATATAACCCAGGCTAATCTCGAATTCACATCAACCACTCTCGAAAATGCTGGGATTACAGGAGTGGGCCACCCTGCCTGGCTCTCTAAAACAGTTTTAACAGGTAGGAGTCTGACCTTAGATTCCAGAAACTATAACTCACATTTCTTCAGGGGTGTGGAGAGAGGCAGGGAGAGACCAACCTACCCTCACCCTCTGATCCCACCCACACCTGGAGTCCCATACCCACGCAGTGACGCCCATCTCGTGCCCCCTCGTAGCCCTGGTCACAGAGGCACTGGAAGGAGCCTGGAAGGTTCTGGCACACGGCATGGGCGCCACAGAAGGACCGGTTCCGGCATTCGTCCACATCTGCAACCATCAGCAGGCCATTCCAATCAGGCCATTTTGGACTTTACATTCCCTCCATAGCCCCCAGACCACCCCATGGACACCCACCCTGGCACCCGCCCCCTGGCGTGGGCTGATAGCCAGGGTCACAGGCTGGCGTGCATCGGTAGGAGCCAGGGGTGTTTTCACAGCGCTGTGCCCCACAAATTGCAGAACCATATTCTTGGCACTCATCCACATCTGCAGGAGAGTGAAAAGGGGATAGAACAGAGAGTCAAGGGCCTGGAGTTTCCAGTTCTGAAATGCCACTTCAGGTTCTTAAGATTGGGGAGTCCCTGAGCCTGGTGTTCCAGGAGTCTGAGTTTTCTAATAATTAGCAAGTGCTGATAGCTCTTAAGTTCTTACTGCTATTTCTCAAATAGCTTGAACAGGACCCCCACCTCAGGGCCTTTGCACTTGCTGTTCTACTAGGTGTACGCACCCCGCCTCCCGCTATGTGCACAGCTTCCCTGCCCATTTCACCAACATGTCTAAGTCAAGCACTCTGACCCTCCCTGATAAATATCCCTCTTCTACTGCCTTGCCACGTCTGTCCATTTAGCTTCTTCTATTTTTAAATTTTGTTTTGGAAAGAGGGTCTCATATAGACCAGGCTGGCCTTGAACCCTTTTAGTCAAGGATGACCTTAAACTTCTCTTCCTGCCTCACCTCCCAAGTGCTGGATTCTAGGCATGTGCCACAATATCCATCTATTCCTTTTTAATTTATTTTTAGGGTCTCGTGTAGCCCAGGCTGACCCCAAACTTGCTATGTAGCCAAGGATGACCTTGAACTTCTGATCCTCCTGCCTCTACTTCCTGAATGCTGGGATTACAGGAAAGCACTCAGTTGATATGTTTATCCCATAGCCTTCCCCTGGCTTTGTGTCTGCTAGGCAAGCACTCTACCAACTGAGCCACATTCTCAGTCTTGTGACTTTCTCTTAGCCTGACTTTAAGTTGGGTATGATGGAACATGCTTGTAATTCCAGGACTTGAGAAGCTGACACAGGAGGATCCCAAGTTGGAAGTCAGAGCCAGGTGTAGGAGTACATGACTGTAATTCCAGCATTAGGAAAGCTGAGACAGGAGAGTTGCTATAAATTCTAGGCCAGCAAGGGCCATATACAGATACCCTGCCTCAAAACAAAAACAAGCTAGAGGTCAGTCTGGGCTGATACTGTCTCAACAAAACAAAACAACAACCCTGACATTGTATCTATAAAATTATCAGTATGCTGAAGGTGGCCAGCCTGTGGTGCAAACTCCACATCAGTAGGGATTTCTGGCTGTCAGTACATCAACAGTGCCTGATACACAGAATTCCAAAATCATGGAATGATTCCTGGATTTGTTTACACTGCCTGCCCCTTCCCACCAGTGAGGGAAGGGCTTTCATTTGGCTCATTTCCTGTTGTGGCCTCAGTGTCTGATACCTAGCTGGTGCTTATTGAATTCTTTTGGAATTAATGATTGAAATCTCAGGAAACTAGATTTGCATGAGTCAGAGGTTTAACCACTAGGCAGGGAAAGGCAGCCCATAAAAGGTTTGTTTCACGGGTTCCAGAAAATGCTGATCCACACACCATTCCCTCCTTTTAAAATATATTAGACCAGCCCAGCAAGAGGAAGCCCAGTTTGTCCTGGTTCCTAGTAAGAGGGCCTCCTCACTCCTGAGCCACCATAAAAAAATAAAATAAAATAATAAATAAAATAAAATAAAATAAAATAAAACACAGGGACATAACAACCGCTTAGTCCATCACAGGCCAGGATGTTAGTTGCTGGGACCTCTCCCTCAAGGTTCTGGACCAGGGTGGCTCTCCTCTGGTCTCCAGGGGAGCAGAGTCCAGCAACCTGTTGCAGGTACTGGGGGATCTGTCTCACCATCACAGGTGCCCTCAGGTCCAGCGTGGTAACCAGGATCGCAGTCCCGGACACAGCGGTAGGAGCCAGGGGAGTTCTCACAGCGCTGGGATCCGCACAGGGCTGGTCCTCGCTCCCTACACTCATCAATGTCTGAGGAAGGTGGAAGGGAGGTCAGATGGAGGAAGCAGGAGAGTGAAAGAGCAGACAGGAAGGTCTGGGGGAGAAGCAGGGGAGATGGTAAAGGGAGAAGGTGTGGAAGAGGAGGAGATGGAAGGCAGGGGAAGCGGGAAAGGAGGGAGGAGGAAAAGGAAGAGATGAGAGGCACTTTTAGGGGGAGGGTGGGAGGGATCAGGTGGGGCCGTTCACCGAGGCAGGAGGCGAGGTCTGGGCCTGCGCGGTGTCCGGGAGGACAGATGCACTCGAAGGAGCCATCAGTGTTGGTACAGATGCCGCTCTGGCAAAGGTCCTCCTCGCTGCACTCATCCACGTCTGCGGGACAGAGCATCCGAAACCCAGGCCCACCTCCTCTTCTGCTTAATATTCCAGGCCACACCCCTCCAGCTCCTCCTCCACGCCTCAGAGGCTCCCAGGCTCTGAACGCCTCACCCCATCTACTTCAGGCCCCGCCCTTTCCTGCAAGCCCGGGTCCTACGAGTTTAGGATAGGTCCTTTCCATCACTACTCAACTACCAGACCTAGCCCTTTCTCCCCATGCCCCGCTCCCTTGATTGCCACCTCGACTTCCAAATACCCTGCCCCAATGATTCCTGCAGATGCCCTAAAGTCGTGAGAAATCTGGAGTCCTCTGCCCCCTTCCCCTTGTCTCTCCTTTGCTGGGGGCTGACCAAGGCAAGATGCTCCGCGGGGTCCAGGGCGGTAGCCAGGGGCACAGGTGCAGGCAAAGGAGCCATCGGTGTTGAGGCACTCGCCGTGGGGGAAGCAGAAGTCACCCTCCAGACACTCGTTGATGTCTAAGGCACGCGATAGTTAGGGATGAAGCTGCTAGGTCGCTGGACGAACCCCAGAGGTAAGCCCCGCCCACAATGCTGTAACCCCACCCAAACGGCATTCTTGTTGAGCAGTTCCTAAGTGACCCTCATAGCTCCATAATCCAGCATCTACCTCGCCAGTGGATTTTGCCCAGGAACCCAGGCCCTACTCCCAGGCTCCGGCTGGTCGCCACTCGGCTCACCTGCGCAAGGTCCGGGTCGCCCCGGTGGCGCCCGGTAACCTGGCGCGCAGGTGCAGCGGAATGAGCCCTCAGTGTTAGTGCACTGGCCGTGCAGACCGCAGGGGACGCCTGAACTGCATTCGTCCACATCTGCGGAGGGGGGCGGGAGGATGCTCAGTTCACTGGGGTAGATGGGGTTGAGGGGGTGAGAGGTGATGCGAAGGGGTCTTGAGTGGATGACAGATGAATGGATGACAGATGAGGGCGCCATGGCAGAGGTGGGTAGGATAGACTGAAGTTCTCTGGTTCCACGGACAAAGATTAAGGATCCCCTGGATCTGGGTGTCAGTATTATGGTCCAGGTAAGGAGACTGAAGCTCGGGTCCTCAATTATGGGTCAAGCGAGGGTCATGGGCCAGGTCAAGGGTCAAAATATGAGAGACCAGGTTCAGGATAAAGGTCCCCGGTCCCAGCTGGGCCCGAACTCACCAGTGCATCTCCCACGGTGCAGGTGGTGGCCAGCAGGGCAGACCCGGCACTGGAAGGAGCCAGGTGAGTTCACACACTCCTGCCCAGGACAGGCCAGGTGATTTTCACACTCATCCACATCTGAGGAGCAGGGGAGAGGGTGGCCTTGAGGAAAGGACCTTACAGACCCTCACCCATCCACATTCCTCCCGCCCTCCCCGGCCTCACCCTCGCACTCGGAGCTCGCGGCATTGGGTTGGAAGCCCGTTGGGCAGACACACTTGAAGCTGCCTTCCGCGTTCTCACATCGGCCGTAGGCACAGGGAGAGGGGCTCCGGGCACACTCGTCCACATCTGGGGCAGAGAGGACCAATCAGACTAAGGAAAAAGGGCTGGGTTCCTGCCCACTGCCACCCCTACTTATCCCAACATTGCAGTCTTTGGGACAAGACTGGATTGGAACTCACACTGTAGCCCAAGCTGGCCTCAAACTCACACCAATTCTCCTGCCTCAACCTCCTGAGTAAGATTGCAGCCCTAACTACCACACTCAGCAACATTCCACTCTTGAGCCCTCCTTCTAGGAGGACAAAGCCATTTCCTGTTCATCCGTTTATTTTTATTTTTTAAAAAATATTTTATTTAATATATTTATTTCATGTGTATGCGTGTATTGCCTACATGTAGGTAAGTGCACCCATGTCGTGCAATGCCCGCGCGGAGGACAGAAGAGGCTGTCAGATCCCCTAGAACTGGAGTTACAGACAGTTGTTAGCTGCCATGTGGATACTGGGATTCAAACCCAGGTCTTCTGCAAGAACAACCAGTGTTTATAACTGTTGAGCCATCACTCCAGCCCCCTGTTCACCCTTTTAATAGTCTCTCCAGCTGTGTTCCCTGACACAGTCCCCATTTCAAGGTGCCCAAAACACAAAAATATCATTCATTCAAGGGCTGTGAATCAGTGGTTAAAACCATTGAATACTTTTGCAGAGGTTCCAGGTTCAGGGCAGCACCCACAGGGCAGTTAATAACTACCTATAACTCTACTTCCAAGGGATCTAGGGTTGTCTTCTGGCCTCCATAGGCACCAGGCATGCACGTGGTACACATGGTACATGTATATAAACATGCAGACAAAACACTCATACATTGAGACTAGAGAGATGGCTCAGAGGTTAAGAGAACTGACTGCTCTTGCAGAGGATCTTGGTTTGGTTCCCAGCACCCACACAGCTGCTAACAACCATCCATAACAACAACACCCTATTCTGACCTCTGCGGGCATTGCCCAACATGGGTGCACCTACCTATAAATAGGCAGTAAGTTCATATACATAAAATAAAAATTAAAAAAAACACTCATACACACAAAATAAAAATAAGATCTAAAACACTTTTTTTTTTAAAGAAATGCAATCTTTTTTTTTTTTTTTTTTTGAGACAGGTATCCCCAGCTGGCCTGGAACTCACTATGTAGACCAGGCTGGCCTTAAATTCACAAAGATCTACCTTCCTCTGCCTCCCAAGTGCTGGGATTAAAGACATATGCCACCACACCTGGCTTCAAGAAATGCAATCTTTAAAAAAAGAGTATCATTCAAAATAGGAGGATGGGACCAACAAGATGGGTCAGTAAGAAAGGTGACTGCTATCAAGCCGGATGACTCAGGTCATCTGAACTCAGGTTCAATTCCTGAGAGAGATCCATGGTGGAAGGAAAGAACTGACTCCTGCAAGTTGTCCTCTGACTTTCACACTCCAACAGTCACACACACCCACCCACTTCCTCACCCACCTGTCCCACAAAAAATAAATGTAAACGAAAAAATTTTTAAGGGGAGGAGGGTCAGGCATGGTGGCACACACCTATGATATCCATTCTCAGGAGGCAGAGGCAGGAGGTTCATGAGTTCAAGGTCAGCCTTGGATACATTAGACCTTGTCTCATAATAATAATCATAATAATTATTATGATTATTATTGTTATTATTATTTTAGAAAGGAGGAGAAATGGGAGCATTCTCACTTGAGAGAAAGAAGGCTGAATTCAGTCAGATCTTCCCAGGTCTCTCAGCACACCCCTCCAGGTCTGGCCCTGGCATCTGCCACAGAGCCAGGCCCAAGGCCTCTCTATCCCTCAATAATGTCCCTCTCCATTTCCCACAGCAAGTGGTGGTGCTGCAGGGTTGGACCCAGCACCCTCACCTTGGCAGGGGGCCCCGGGTCCTCGGGAGCGGAAGCCAGCAGGGCAGGCACAGTGAAATGAACCCGCCGTGTTGTCGCAGCGGCCTGGTCCACAGGGCGGTGGCTGCTGGGCACACTCATCCACGTCCTCTTCACATGCCGAGCCACGGAAGCCAGCCGGGCAAACACAGCGGAAAGAGCCGGGCAGGTTTTCACAGACCCCGCGGCCGCAAAGGCCCGGCGTCTGGATGCACTCGTCCACATCTGCATGGGGCAAAGGAAGCCTGGGGTTCCCCCTAGGGCCACTCATACTCCACTTTGTCTGAGCTCCATCATTTTGCCCACCCTTTCTCATTCCTCTTCCCTGCCTGTTATGACGACTCTCCATCTTCCACTGATCCTCATGATGCTGTGGCTCCCGGAACTCTGCCTCTCTGGTCCCCTTGAGTTGGCCTACTTCTGTCTTGGATTACTCAATCCCCTTTCTCAGTGAATGACATCTCCATCCCTTCTCCCTCCCCATCTCCATCCCTTCTCCAAACTCTGCTTCTCCATGCTCCATGATTCAGTCTTTCTAAATCCCATTTCTTGGCCTCACCATCCCCAGGTCTCTCAAGATGCTCCACATCTGGTGCTCCGACCCTGGCCTACGACTCCCATCAGTCAGCCTCCCTTTGCCCCACTGCTCACTCTCCAACCCTCATCCTCGCCCACCTTCCCTTCACCCTGCACCTGAGTTCTTTCCGTCTCCTCCCAGACCCTCACCCTGGCAGCTGGCTCCGTGCGGGGCTGCCTGGTACCCGGCGGGGCACACACATAGGAAACTGCCTGGCGTGTTCTCGCAGCGCCCGCGGTCACACGGCGGCGGCACTCGATGGCACTCGTCCACATCTGTGGGCAGAACCGGGAAGCTAGGACTCGGGCAGACAGTCCCCAGAGAGAGAAGACGCAAGGCAGGGGAGGAGCCGCAGGGGGCAGGGCAAGGGCGGGGCCAATCGGCACCGCAGGCGGCGTGGGCGGGGCTAAGGAGGTGGGCGGGGTCGGGGCGGGTGGGCGTAAAGTGAAGGCGGAGATTGATCCTGGAGGATGGAACTAGAGCTGGGGGATCCCTCCAGCAGCGAGGCGGAGAGCTAGATCAAGAGAGGGTACAAATTTGGGGTGGGGTAGGGCATGGGTGGGAAAAGAATCTTGGTGAAGCAAAGAAAGGAAAGGCAGGGGCGGGGCTAGAGAAGGAAAGAGCAGTTTCAGGGTTCAGGGGTCGTAGTCAGAGTTACAGCGGAATTGTGGAAAGGAGGCGGAGCTGGGAGGCGGGAGCTAGTCCAGGATAGGGAGGGGTGGGGCTGATGAGGGCGGAGCTAGATCCTGTTTTGAGAAAGGCTGGGCCACCATAAAGCCTGACCCTCCTAGAAGACTGGAACCCCAGTGGGGCAGACCGCGGCTGGACAGAGCCCTGTAGCAGGGATGGATCGACGTGGGAAGGGGTACGCATAAGCACTTCTGCAGAGAGAGAGCATGGAATAAGCCCCAAGCGAGGGTGAAGCCTGGGGCCCGGCGGGGAGGAATTCTCACCCAAGCACTCGGTAGCCCGCGGGCCTGCTCGGAAGCCTGCACCGCACACGCAGCGGAAACTGCCCGGTGTGTTCTCGCAGCGCCCAGGAGCACAAGGCGGGGGCACGCGACGACATTCATCTATGTCTGAAGGCACGGAAGGGGCAGGTCACCATGTGACCAGGCAGGAAACTTCCCACCCCAGCCGGGGCTCCCCTGAACCCCTGTGCCCAGCTCACCGATGCAGCGGGTTCCCTGGGGGCTGAGCCGGAAACCTGAGTCGCATGCACAGGTGTAGCCACTAGGCCGAGGTATGCAGCGTCCAGCACCACAGACCTGGGGGTTGTGCTGGCACACGCTGGAGGAGGGACCTGGGGGAGCCAGTCACCAAGGTTCCCCAAACTGAACTCTTGGTCTGTTCTATACTAGGACAATCCCCTCCCCCACGCTCAGCCTTAAAGGAGAATGGGCCCACAATGACACTTGCACTCTGTATATTTCAGAAGTGTTTCTTGAAACCTTCTGAAACCAATGATCCCCATTCTACAGGGTAAGAAATGGAGCCTCAGGATTTAAACACTTTTTCATTTCCCAGAGAACTTTAGCCGAGATGTGACTCCCGCACCTGATAGGTCTACCACCCAACCCTTCAAATTCCTATCTCTCCCCAATCTTCTTTATCTCATTTTTCCTAATACCTTCACCTTGAAGCCTCTTTCCCCAGAACTTCACCAGTACCACCCTGGCGAACACCCTTACAGCCCTACTGAACCTGATTCAGAAATCTCAGGACCAGTCCAGGCAGGGATGCTGGGCAGTGGACGTTCAGGACCAGGCCGGGGCTCAGACCGGGGGGACTCAGGGCGAGGAGTGGGTAAAAAGACTTTATCAGGAAAGAAAAAGCAACAGGTCTAAATTTGAGTATCCCTGCTCCTCCCTCCTTTCCCTATAAGGCACAGGCAGCCCCTTGAGGATGACACCCCCTCTCTCCAGGATCCAGCTCACCTGTGGGTGGCCGAGCAGTGGCTGGTGGGGCACGTGGCTGGCTAAGGGCCACTCGAGGCAGCTCCTGACTCAGGGGTCTAGTGTTGTAGCGGAGGTCAGAGGCTGAGTAGTGGTAGCCAGGGCCAGCTGGGCAGATCTCCCGAAAACCCTCTGGTAACAGGACAGAGAAAGGCCAGAAGGTGGCAGAATGAGAGCAGGGACTTGACCTGAGATGGTGTCCCGGGTCTGACTTGTATGTGGTAGTGCTCTGGCCCAAAGAACAGGATATTTCAGAGGCTAATGGTAGAGCCAGAGAGAGTTTTTCCTCATTTGGGATGGTGGTAAATGCTGGGGTCAAGGGCAGGGTCTGGTCAGCTTAACTTCAAGGCTAGGGGTGTGGCTAAGGATGGAGGTGAGTCCAGGCAAGGATTAAAGTCGTCAAGAATTTGGGGGTGTGGCCAAGGATTGCCTAGTCTGAGGACCTTGTGTTTAAGAGGCTGAGACCAAGCCTGGCAGCGTGTATCACTAGGAAGAGATGGTGCCAGCCGCAGGACAGCTCACCTGAACCAAAAGGTGGACAGAGTTGGCAACCTCGGCCCCAAGCCTTGCCCACACGGCTACAGCAGCAGATCTGTTTGGTGATATTTCGCAGAATGGGCAGCGAACAGCCGCCATCACGGAGCACACGGAAGCACGGCCCCTTCGCCTCGGAGATCACATGTTGGGCTGGGGAAACGGGGAGAAATTCTTCAGGGCGGTGTGGGGAGTGTCCACACGCTGAACTAAGAATTTGGGGAGATGAGAGACTGGCCCCAGGGACGGTTTAGTGGGTGAGGGGACATGTAGGGAGTTGGGAGAGGAGTCTGAAAGGGAGCTGGGAAGTGTTTTGGGGAGGTGCGAATGAGAATCTGAAAAAGGTCTAGAGGTCTAAAGGTCTAGAGAATTTGAACTCTGAAAAACTTGAATGCAAAAGGTTTTGGGGGGCTTCTGAAGATAGCGCAGGAAGTCGTCTGAAGAAGCAGAAGTTCGAGTCAAATCTGAAAGTCTAGAAGAGTTTGGGGTATCTCAGGGAATTAAGGGCCCAGGAATGTCCTAGAATGTAGTCTAAGGTCAGGATGGGTTTGGGGACCAGCCTCGGACCCCTCCAGGAGGCTCACAGATGCAGCTGCTGCGGGCAGAGTCCAGGAGGAAACCATCTGGACACACGCACGTGTACCCCCCACGCGTGTTGGCGCACTCCCCGTGCTGGCAGCGTCCACCTGTGGCACACTCATCCACGTCTGCAACAGTTGGGGACGTCACCTGGGGGGGGTCTCAGACAACATCCCTGCCAGCCCCACACTGTCAGACAAACCCCTCCCTCTCCGGCTCTGCCTCACCTACACAGGACCCATTAACCCTCTCAAAGCCCGCCGGACAAGGTCCATCTGAGCCACCAACTCGGTTGGAATTCCCTGTGAAGAGAAGCAGGGATGGAGATAGAGATGGGTGGGGTCAGAGAGGTGATGAAGCCTCAAAGAAGCAGATGAAGTGGGCGAGGCTAAAAGGAGTGGTTTGAGTACATGTCAGCCTCCCTTTGACCGCATACAGAAAACAGAGGGACCAAAATCAGAAAACAGGGTAAATACTCCCAGAACAAACGATCCCCATAATTAGAATCTGTAAACGAGGTTTATCTAAGCCCACAATAGAAGAGGTGAGGTTTGGGGGTGACTTGGGCCTTACCCAGGTGATCTGTGCATGGTTGGCAATCACGAACACCCCAAGCCAAGCCGGCCCCTCTGCAGCACACGTCCTGGGTCCGGAGCCCTGGCAGCGGCGACGCACACTGTTGGAAAAATGTCGTGAGTGCACCCCCGCGCGATGGCACGCTGGAGGGGGGACCCTCAGGCCGCCGGCCTAGTCTCACTTCGCTTCCACGCAGCTCCCTGAAGCAATAACCGAAGCCAGAGGCGTCCGAGTAGCCGTCCTCCCGTGGCGCGCTCTGGGCCAACACCGTGTAGGGCGCCGCCGCCTCCGAACGCGCCACCGCTTCTGCCCTTGCTAGGGCTTCGGGGTTCGCCTCCTCCCAGGGGCCGGACACGCGCTCCACCTGGTGCACCACCACCGATGCCTCCTGAGGGTGTTCAACGTGCACGCTGACCATAGATGCCACTCCTGACCCGAGGCAAAGTGGGAAAAAGAGTTCTTACTTGCTGGGAGTAGAAAAGGAGAAAAGACGAGCTGAAAAAGGGTGCTTGTTTTTTTTTCGGTTGTTATTGCTTCTTTGTTTGTTTTTGTGGGGAGGGGTTAAGACAGGGTCTAGCTATGTAGCCCTGGCTGGCCTGCAATTTGCAGTGATCCTCCTGTTTCTGCTGCCCGAGTGGTGGGAATAGGGGCATGAACCACCAGATCCGGTTTGGATGGGCAATAAAGAAAGCAGCAAACTCACACAGGAGAACAAGTTCATAGCCAAGAACAGGATCAGCTAAATTCTTACCGTGTTCATCGTCGCGGTGGTTGGCCAGTGGCATGGTATACACGGAGCGGGTGAGGCCCGGCATGGCTGGGGCGGGGGGCTGGGCCCCTGAGGAATGTAACTGGCAGAACTTGCCAGCAAAGTCCGGGGGGCAGAGGCAGCGGTCAGGTTTTACACACACACCACCGTTGTGACAGATCAAAGGACACAGGACTGAGGAGATCAAGGTTACAAAAAGTCAGTACCATGCAGAGCAGGGTGGCATCCAATGTCCCTGACCTAACTGGGTCCCTAACATTGTAACTACACCTTCAAGGTGTCACTCATCTTAAATCTCTTCACCTTAGTTACCTTTTTCTTTTATTTTTCTGTTTTGAGATAGGGTCTCATGTAGCCCCAGCCAGCCTCGAACTCACTATATAACAGAGGCTGTCCTTGAACACCTTGATCCTCCTGCCTCTACTTCCCAACTGTTGGGATGACAGGAGTGTGCCACCACACTTGGTTTCTCTTACCTGTCTTGTGGCCATACCCCAACTCTGGTCATCTACATTGGTTGGGTCCAGCCATTCAGCTATTTTGTATAAAGTCCCGCCCACGAGAGGGCTCTCCCCGCCCCAATTCCTCACACCCCGCCTCTTACTCATGTCTCCCCCTTTTCGACTGAGGACCAGGATTCTAGGCCTGCCTAGACATTGGCTTAGCCCCGCCCCTTGTAGCTTTTCCTTAGCGCATTTACCCCTGCTTGAGCCTTCCACGTCTTTCTTTTTTAAAAAATATTTTATTTTTATTTTATGTGTATGGCCTGCATGTGTGTAAGTGCACCCATGTCGTGCAATGCCCCCGGAGGTCGGAAGTCGTTGGATTCCCTAGAACTGGAGTTACTGACGGATGGTTGTTAGCCAGCATGTGGGTGCTGGGAATCGAACCAGGGTCCTCTGAGAGAGCAGTCAGAGCTTTTAACTAGCCCCCCCGCCCCGCGCGCCGCCCACATCACCTTCTACCTGTGGGAGTCTAAGCCCCACCTAATCAAGTCACCTAGACCCTTTGGCCCTGCCCACTCCCTTTCCTCACTGATTGGTCCTGAGCCCCTTCTACCCCACCTCTCCTCCCACTTCCCGCAGACTAGCTCCGGAGTTTCAGCCTTCCCTCCCTGCCTCCGGTAGTACCGGGCGGGGCCACCACCGGGAACGCGCCTCCACTTCCCACTGCGCGCCCTCTCTGGGCCCCTAGCCACCTCTGGGCGGGGCACTGCCAGCTGTGTGGCGGGGTAAACAAAGAAAGGGGTGCAGCGGGGGCAGGGCGGCGGCTCCTCATTCCAGACCCTTGGGGAGCCCCGGACTGCTGAGCCAAGGGAGGCCGGACGTGTCTTTCGAGGGCACCCCTCCTCCTTTCCTCCCCAGGGGCTGTTGAAAACAGCTGGAGACAGCTGTGCCTCGGGGAAGAAGGGAGCAGACAGCCGGGGCTGTCCGGGGAGGTGTTTTCTGAGCAAAACGGTTAGAAAAAAAAAAAAAAGCACAGGGCTAGATCAAGCCATCTCAGTTTAGAAGGGTCAGAGGATAGAAAGCTTTGGAGGAGCTGTGGGGGGGGGGCGGTGTCAGTACTCTGGGGTTCAAAGACAACTCAAGGTTTCTAGGAGGCAGGAAGAGGCTAGGTTCATAGAAAATAGAGGCTCCCGACCAAGTCTTTCAAGTCCTAGAAAACAGGACTTTCTGGAGGCGGAGGTGTGACCCATTTAAGGATGCTGAGGAGGAAAAGTGGAATCTATGGAAGTTTCCAGCACATGAGTCTCAAGTTCCTGGGACCCTAGGATTCTGTGGAAAGCCCTGTTCCTAGCTAATGGTCTGGGTGCCCCAAGTCTTGATTAGTGGCTGTCTGGCTGTGGTACAGCATATAGTGTCCCCTCATGCAACTTGGAAGGATCAATTGATCAAGACCAACTCCGAGGTTTTCTGAAGATAGATGGAAATCCGTATTTCCTGGAGAGAAGATGGGGTAGGAATCAGGAGCCTGATGAGTTTGGGAAGGATATGTTAAAAATATTAGAAAATATGAGCTTTTGTGGGAAGAGAATTCAGCTAGGAGAGTTATCACTGCATTAAGCCTTTGTCAGGGTTTCTAGCTGGGGGACAATACTATAGTTGTCCAGTGAGGGGCGCCTCTTGGGGGAGTGCCTCAGAAGATTGGAAAGAACTTAGCCAGAGGAGACAGTCTGGGCTCTGTCAGACAGGGGTGGAAAGGGAGATTAGGATCTGGGGGCCAGAAACTGGGGTCCTCTGGTTAGGAGAGTCAAACCTGGACTCTGGTATTCTAGTGAGGTTCTGTAAATGGCTGAGAAGCTTAAGTGAGAAACAAGATTCCAAACGTGGAAAGTGGGGGGGTGGGAGTGGAAGCCACCAGGGTTAGGGGCATTTTTCAGCCTCTGAAGTCATTTCCCTTCCTGCTCTTGGCCGGAGAAGTGCGGACCCCCCAGCCCAGCTCCCTGAAGGTACCCACACCAGGGTCTTGCTGGGAGATGGGCAAAGCTAACTTCATGTCCCGTACCATTGGAGGAACAGGGAGTTGGGGACATTAGGGTCCTGCTGAGGTCAGCCCCCCTTCACATGTCCCTCCTTGTGCCTCCAGGGGCTTGGCACCCGCCTGGGCACGGCGCCTGGCACGGGCGAGTTGGGGCTGGGCTGGGAGGGAGTGAAGGAAGGAGGGAGGAAGGGGAGGAGAGAGGGAGTGGCAGCGGGCGGGGGCTCAGGCGGGAGATGAGCTCACGCCGGCCGGGGCTGGGCTGGCTGGGAGCCAGCCTGGGCGAGTTCTCGGCGCCAGGGGCCCCACTCCCCACTCAGGAGGGCGTGAAGGGTAGGAGGCAGGGAGAAGCCGAGCCCCAGGAAACCAGTCCACCCCTACACTCTGGGCTAGCAGGTGGCGGGCCCTCCCGACCTCACCTGAACCCAGCGAGCTCCCCTTGTGTCTGGTCCTGTCCCCTCCTCTCCCAGGGGGCGCCCTTTCCCTAGGCCTCCTAGCTGGATGTCTGTCGCACGTGGAACCGCTGCAATTCAGGTCTTGCAGAAATTCACCCTCTCTTCCCTGGGCCCTTTCCCATTTAGCTCTCTTCATCATGGGCAATACTAAATTCGACTCTCCTAATCTCTCCCATCCAAAGACACAGAACCGGAGACATCCCACATGCAACCCTAAAACACTTTTCGTCCCTGGAGACCCGTAACGCAGACTCTCAGAACATGGACCCGTTTCCCAAAAGTTCCCAGGTCCCTGAATTCTGAGATTCCCCTCCTTGACTCAAAGCCAGGAAAGCCAGTCCCAGTCCGCTCACATGGGACACCACAGGTTCCTCAAACACTCTTTGCTTGAGCCACTCCCCAAACCAGGAATTCGGAACTCCCTTCCTTAAAGACCCCACAGACTCCCCAGCACTACAGTACACCGGACTCTGGGCTCCTTATCCCCAAGGGCATTGTCTTCCCGCATCTCCGGGGATCCTCCTCCCTCCGGGCACTCCTCCCTCGGGAGCACCACCCCGCACTCACAGGCGCGGAAGCCGGGTCCCCCTGGGGCCGCCCCGCCGGGCGCACCGCTGTCCACGCTGGTGGTGTTGCGGGGCGCGCAGGTCGGGGTACAGCGCGAGCCGGTAGGCCCATGGATGCAACGCAGGCCGCATACCGCGGGGGTGAAGCGCACGCGGAGACGCTCTCGAGGCTGGCCCAGTCCCGGCTGCGGCCCCAGCTGCGCCAGCAGCACCAATAGCGACATCCAGAGCAGCCGTGCGCTGCCCGCCATGGCTGCAGCGCCGCGCTCCACCGCGCCGCCGCCCCAGCCCGCCGG